GCGATTAAGAGCCTGTAGATAACTATGGATGAAAAGGGTGCTAACACCTTCCCTTTTCATAACTTACCCCCCGAACTCAAAATCTATCAAGGTCTTTCCTGTTATTTTCACCCTTTCCTTGTTGGATAAAATAAAGTTCGTTGGTGACTCTAGCTAACTGTAACATTTGCAATAAAACGCTAAAAAAGGTCAGTTCTCTCACCATATTACATAACTGACGACTCTGATGAGGATAACTAAAAGAGGGGTTACCTTAAGAGTTTATATCACTTTACTTGCTTAAATTATGTGCTTTGTTTGATTTAAATTTAAGGGTTGCTTAGGTTTTTATTACTTGTAAGATACTACACCCAAATCTAGGGATGCCTTAGGTAAGTAGCAATAAATCATGAAAACTGTACGGCGTAGACTGATATGGTCGAAGTGATGGCTACGGTTAGTGCGACACTTTGGTTTGTATTAATGTTCCTTGAGTCAGTCAAGGATAACATTAGGCTTCTGCGTGGTGTCATTAGCACTAACTTACTTTTAGAACCTTAACTGACCCATCTCGGCCATTAAAAGGTAATGAGATAGCCAAATTTGATGCAGTCTAAAGTTGGTTGATACTCAAAGCTACGCTCATTGAGATTTGACTCTCGGGATGTTTTGGTGGCAAATCAGTATCCGTACTTAAATAAAGCCTTCGAGAAAGATTTGTGATATGAGATTCTTAGAACCAGGTTACTATTTTAGGATACGTTGAGCCATCTAAACTTCAACTGTGGGAAGGGTACTTACCTATTGACTTCATACAAGCCTTTAAACCTAAGGCTACTTATGTTACTTGTTTGTATTTACTATCTAACAACTTGAATTCCTCGCAGGATTTGTTTGCATAAACTCATTTGTTATCATCACCTTATATTTTGCTTAGTGCATGACATACACATCATGTCATTTCATAACATAGCACTGTTTCTAACCATTTCAAGGATCTTAGGGATTTATGGTGCAATATTTCCAGGATTGTTATAAGCCAAATTTCTATCAAGGAGTAAGAGGATTTATTTTCCTCTAGCCATATGCCGTCAAAATCAAAATGCATTTTCTTGAGTCATAGGTTATGACCCACTTGATATGTTGAGCTTGATTCTTATAGAAGGACGTTCAAAGATGAAAACTCAAAGTTCTTCAGACAAAGCTGCAACTAAATTCAATTTCTAATGTTTTCTTTGAATCATCTTGCATCATGGTGAAAAATTGGCATGAAGTCTTGAAGAAAAGCATTTTGACTTTTCAAAATGAATTTTGACTTTCTTGATTTATTGATGATAAAGTTTCATATTATTTAATGTCTTGATGAAATATGATCTTTGAAACTCAAATTTGATCAAAAAGTCAAAGTTTGACGTTCGGTGTATCAGTTGACTTTTCATCAGTTGACTGAATTTTAACTATCAATCAATTGATATTGAGAAATGAATTGAACCATGTAATTAGGTCAAGATGATGAATTTGAATTATTCACTGACTTTGGGGAAGCCCAACGAGTAAGGGTCCCGATAAATTGGTTGAAAGAATATATGTTGGAGTGTGGGTTCCTTTTGGAACATAACGAAGCTTTTGAGATGACATTACAACAATTGGTGGACCAGGGGATAGTCCAATTCGGACCATACCCTAAAGGTGAATATGTAGCTGCAATTGAAGGAAGCATAAAGAAGCCATTGGTAATTCCTTGCTAAGGGCCGAACCGTAATAAGAAAACTCGTGTGATACCATGGGGAGAGTCAACTGAGGCATCAATAATGACACCAAAACAAACTCTGAGGATACCAATAGTTCCAAAGACTACAATGGTGATTAAGGGGTCATCTCCTACCCCATACGAAAGTTACAAAGCAAGACCATGGAGTTACGATCCGAACATATACGTCAATGGCTTAAAACAAGAATGTGAGCCATCATCAAGTCAAGGACCTGCAATCTCAAATGTAGCAGGGACAAAGGGCATGAACCGCAGTGGTCAAGTCTTTGGATCTGCACCACCAAAGAAGAATGATAATATGGTGAAAAATAATGATGATACGTTTGTGAAAGACACGGGGAAAGTAATGATGGAAGCAAGTCAAGAACAAGAGCCTCCGAGCAAAAACTTCACTGATAAAGAGGCAGATGAATTTCTGAAGATAATCAAGAGGAGTGATTATAGGATGGTGGATCAGCTTCACCAAACCCTAGCCAAAATTTCTATACTCTCGTTGCTCATTAATTCAGAAGTGGATCGAGATTCGTTAATGAAGGTTCTAAGTTCTTCCCATGTCGCAGAGAAAATTACTATGAATCAATTTGATAATGTTGTAGAAAATATAACATCAGGATCATATATGGGTTTTAATGACAGTTAGTTACCTCCATAAGACTGATCTCACAACAAAGCATTGCACATCTCCATTCGGATAGGTACTACAAGCCTGTCCAGGGTACTCATTGATACTTTTTACGCTCTCAATGTGTTGCCAAAATCTAGTTTGATGAAGTTGGCACTAGACGGTGTTGTGATAAGACCCAGTTCCACAATAGTTAAAGCTTTTGATGATTCTTAGAGTACGGTATTCGGAGAAATGGACCTTCATGTCAAGATCGGCCCACATATGTTCTACATGACTTTCCAAGTCATGGATATAGAACCAGCGTATACATGTTTACTCGGGCGACCTTGGATTCATGCAACATGGGCAGTCACTTCAACTTTAAATCAGAAATTAAAGTTCTTCATTGAAGGAAGATTGGTCATAATTGATGGGACAAAGTACATCTTTGTAAGTCACATAGAGTCCTATAGATATATCAGCGCTGATGAAGACTGTATAGCCACACCATTTCAAGTCTTAGAGTTTTCCTCAATGGTAACCTTACAGGTGTAAAAGATCAAGAAACCTGCCATAACTTCATGGAGAGATTTACAGACAACAGTGGAAAGTGGTGCCTCAAAGGGTTGGGAAAAGCTCCCAGAAATACCTGAGAAAAAGAATCGCTTTGGTTTGGGTTATAAATTATCAAAAGCTGCTCTAAAGGGCAAAGAAAGGTTTCCACCAATCCAAGAGACATTATTCAACAAAGGACTAGAGCATGGCAGGCAGGTGGCGATGATATCTAACAAAGACAACATCAAAAGGGCATCTGATTTCATCCACGAATGCGCCTCAGGCGAAGAACTCAAGAATTGGACAACTGTGGAAATTCCAGAGATCTTTTTCTTTCCAAAGTAATTTTTTATATTTTTAAAAGAACCTATGCCAATCTCGAGGAATAGGGGTTTCTTGTAAGGGTCCTCATTTTGTTTCAGACAGTATTCACATTAATAAAAGTTATATTTTGCATTCAATTAAGATCCATGTCTTTCTTTTGCATTCATCTCTTACATTTAAAAATGGCGATAATTTCTTCATATGCATTTTCCACATTCACATACTAAAAGTTGCACCAAAACATGATAAATGTGTAGATCCATGCCCAAAATCACCAATAATGTTATTGTTGATATCTGATATAATTTTCATCGGACCATCAACCAAGCTGAAGAAGAAGATGATGAAGATCTTGAACTTTCCAAAGAATTGGCGAGGGAAATAAAGCAAAAAGCTGACAGTATACAACCGTACCAGGAACCCATTAAGACCATTAACCTCGGCACAAAAGAAGATCTAAAAGAGATCAAGCTAGGGGCTGTAGCGGTAGAAATGGTGAGACTAAGCCATTGGATTGACATAACTCGCACATATTAAATAAAAATTGCCACCGTGCTTTATTATTTCCAGAGGAATGGGAAAAGAGCGAATAACTAAAAAAGATGAGGTGGGAATCTAGGTACGGGGGTTGGTTATGCAAAGGGAAGGTATTAGCACCCTAAATATCTACGGTACTCCGAAGGAACCTCTTTGAAAATTTATGTATTTTGGCCAAAAGTGTTGTATACAAAAACAGATGGTGGAGATGAGAAAAGAAGTATTTTTAACAATTTTTGCACCCGCCGCGGTTAAGAACCTTTAGTGCCTATGTACCACCTTCCGTGCAATAAGGGATCAAGGTACTCGTAGTTCACTTTAAAAAAATTTAAAACACAAGTGGGTTGGTTAATTTTAAGAGATGACACATCATCATCATCTCCGAGTGAAAAATATACTTACTACCCACGATTATGAGAAATGAGAATTTTCATCATCTCAAAGTGGAGGATATAACTTAGATTTTAAAATCAACAAAGCCACACTCGACACCCAAGTGGAAAATATCTCACTTCGCTACATATCATAGAAGTATAGTAGCTCACAACACTACAAGGATTGATAAGAGTCTAATATTTTGTGAAAATTTTAAAGTAAAAAGCCAAAGTGGCAAATTGGATTGAATGAGATTGATTGACTTTTAGTCTTCTCACAAAAAATGTTAAAACATGATTAAGTTGGTTAAAATTTGATTAAGAAAATATATTTTTTTTAAACGCATGGACCTAAGTCCAAGTTTATTGTGAAAGCGATTCAAGTTAGAAAACAAGAAGAGATTTGAAAATGAGGGAGAAGATTTTGAAATTAGAGAAGATGGGAGGAGATGAAGGGACTATCCTAAAGCATCATGTAAAAGCTAGGGAAAAGAGTCGTTTAACCAACAAAAAGCCAATACTTGACACAAAGAGTAAATGTAGAATTATCAACTTTTGGATTGAAACCGAGCAAGCAAAGATACTAAACCTCTTAAGAATACCAAGCTTCAGATGAATTAAGTCTTCAAAAATTTGGCAGAGCAACGACTATATACAGAGAAATTCTCAATCACAGACAAAGCACATAATCAGAATAACCTGCACATAATCAGAATAACCTGCACATAACTAAAATCAACACAATGTCTCGGGGTAAACCCCAAGAACTCCAAAAAAAATCACAACAAAATCAAAAGGTCCCAAACGGGCAATCAAGGTTTCTAATCCTAAGTTCCAAAACTCCATAATTCCAAAGATGGTAACCAAATAGTCCATGTAACCTTATGGTTTTATTGTTCAAGTTGGTTATTAAGTGTCTTCGAAAAGAAAATGAAAGCTCAAGTGAGCAAAATAAAAATGACGTAAAAATAAATGCTCAAGTGGAACAAAGATGAAAAACAGCATGAAATGTAAATGCTAAAGTAAATGGTGCATAAAAGTAAGGCATATGGGTAAAAGGCATAAAATAAAAGCACAAAGTAAAAGCACAAGAATAAAGTGAATTATTAATAATTAGGAGTTAGAGGTTAGCTGAATGACCATCTTAAAACTTGCATTTGAGAACTCATTAGAAGATTGATAAAATCAAAAGTTATCAACAACAAGTCTCATTTTCTTTTTGTCAAGTATATCATTCATTTCAAGTTCTCGATGCAAGCATATATGATCAACGATGTTTAACTGATTCACTTAGACTAAAGTTTATGATGGTTCATTAGAGGATTGGTAAGACCAAAGTCTCCTAACAATGAACCTCATTATTTTTGGATTAAAGGTTTCAAATTGAACATACTTGGACTTGCAAACATAGGTTAAACATACTAGGACTTGCAAACATAGGTTTGGGCAAAAAATGATCATTTCTCGAATCGAGACAAAATTTAGCGCTATGTTAAGCAATCGTAAGTGGAATTATATAGAAATCACACCTATTTTGTGATCGGTAAATAGCAATGTATGTACTACACAAGTTAGAGATGTGATAAAAAAATCACACTCATGAAACTTATAGCACAAGAAAAGTCAACAAGAAATATGATAAAGAAGAAATAGATAAGAATTAAATTCCACATTTGAATCAAAAAATTTAATCAAACTATCATTAAAACCATTCATCTATTTTGGTGGAGTTTCACTCAACACCCAAGATCCAATGATGTTAATGGAGATTTAATTAAAATTCACAAGGTCCAAGATCAGCCAGAATATATACAAAAATAAATTTGTATTTAATAAGCAAAACATCATGAGAAAATGATTTTTTAAATTGTTTTTTAAAATAAATAAAATGGAAAATAGAAAACTATATTTAAAATATCAAATAAAAATTAAAAGAGATCATAGAACAGTCAAAAATGATCTCAAGTATTTTTTTTTTAAAATTTGGTAATTTTTTTAAAACAGAAAGATATTTTTAAACTATTTAAAATCGCTCAAGTGAAAAATAATTAAAAATAGTAAAAAAAATAAACTAAAGTTCTAGAAAAATTCCATAAAGTCAGAAATAAAGAAAATAATTTTTGAGAATTTTTTCAGAATTTTTTGACAAAAATTGAATTTAAACTGATTTTTTAAAATTTTAAACCGATGAAAACAAAATTAATAAAATAATATAAAATAGAAAAACTGTGAGCCATTGATCAGGTTAACTGTCAAAATTATGTCAGATCAGTGATCTAAAACGAAGGTACACAATAAAAACAATAGAAACACGCGTAGAGAACCAAAAATCCAAAATCCGATCATCTTCTCAAATGAGGACAAGTGGCGGAGGGATCACTTGTCCTCTCAATAGTCAGCGCACAGTTCCCAATATTGAAGAGAAATAAACAACAGCAAAAATGCAGTAACCAGTGGTACGTTACTAGCAGTACTGTTTTTTTTTTATCTTTCAAAAGGCAACCTCCTTATCTTCATTATGTATCATCATCACATGTTATGTTCGTCAAAAAAAAAAAAAGAAAAGAAAAAAGAGGAAACAGAGGTGAGGGAAGAACGACGGACGAGAGGGAGAATTTGCGGTGGTGCTTCGGCGAACTCGCAGCGGCGCCACCGCGAAGGAGGTCTGTTTTCAATTTTTTTTTAGTGTTTTCACTTTGTCTTCCTCCCCTCTGTACAAATCAGGTGTCTAAATTTTCGAAAAGTAAAGGAAATGGGCAAGATCTGCAAATCAGTTCAAAGAGTTCTTGAGTGCAAAGCAACAAAACAATCACATAAATGTAAAGGAGATAGCAGAGTCGGATTCAGAGAAGGATAATCAACTTTCTGGATGAAGAATGAAGAGGAAACGATGGTGAGTGGTACTCAGGCGCGGGGTTTCTGGCGAGAAGAGGAAGTGGACGACGGAGGTTGTTCACGGTTTTCCGGTCGGTTAGCTCAGGTAAGGTTTTAGTTCTTCTTTTTATTTTCTGAATTTGTCTGTGTATCTCTCTTTGTAAGTGCACATTGAATTCTTTTATACGACTTAGAACTAGGGTTTGTGTACAAACAAAAGGCTGAGATGGGAACTGTGTTTTGGGTTCAAATTTGGGCTAATAAAATGTTCTGATTTTTCTTCCTACAATGCAATCCGAAAATTCTTTCTTCAATCCACAAATAAAATTTCTTCAATTCTTGTGATGCTAATTTTTTTGTTAAATTGGGCCTTGCGTATATATGAATGTGGTGTGTATGTTTTGTGTACTGCTGGTATAGGATTTGAGTTGAAACATGAAGTTTTGATGAGAATTTTCTCGTTCTAAACAGTCCACCTGAAAAAAAATGATTTTGCCTAGCCCAACTTCAGACCTGTTTTTCATGCTTGTGATGAGAGGCCCATATTAAATCTTGGGCCTTGGATTGTGTTTGAATGATACAAACTGAACATTGTCTTTTGTAATTGCATTCTTGTTATTGAAAGAATTAGAAAGCAAGTTGTTGCTCTTGTAAATCAACATGAATTATGAATTTTTGCTAACATCTCTTATCTTCTTCTTTTCATGGTATGAATGGTTTGTAGAAAGCATGATTGCAAAGGGTATGGATTGAAGACTTAAGGAAGAAAGCAAACTGGGGCATAGCGATTTAGCATGGCATGAAGAAATCTGACAGTCCAAGGAAGCTTGAAGAAAAGCCATCAAAGTCTTGTTGTTTTCATAGAAATTATTTGTGGAAAAGTGGATAATTGTAACTTTGCAAATTATGCTTTAGGACACTTGAAAAACTTTTGGACATGATTGGAAATATGTATGAAACCTTCATCTTTCTCTTGTAATTTTGAAACTTGGTCAAATGAAATTTGCATTGTCTTATATTCTTGAAGGATATTTGAAGATTTGAACTTGATGATGTTCGATGAGAGTGCTCCATATTTTCAGAAACTTGCCTTTGAAGAAATTTCCATGGATGGAATTGACATTGAACATTGAATGATACTTGAATTTTGAAATGATCATGACATTTGTACTCGAGATTATGATCTTTTAACATTGTCTTGAATCAAAATAAAAGTCTTGTAATCTCTAAATTCATGGAAACAAGAAATTCCCTCCATTGTGAAAACCTCGACATTTGAATTTAGAATCATATTTGAACTTTAAATTTTGACTTGAAAGAATTACCTTGAATTTCTAATAATCATGCCATGATGTTGTACCCAAAAATTTGCCCTCTCATTTTATTCAAGACAAACTCATAAAGGTCCCCAAATGCTCAAGGTTGACTAAGAATTGACCAGACAAATTCTCCTCTTAAGCAATGGACTTCCAACTAGGATTTCACTTTTCACAAAGAAGTTTGGGTTTCAAAGGCCTCAAGTGATTTCCATAATTTCTAATATGTCCTCAAGAATATCCATGCTAAGTTTCATGCCTTGCATCAAGTGTTTGCTCAGTTAATGGCTCAAATGTTTGGAAATCAACTGTATTGGTCAAAAAGTCAACTATGGTCAACATACAATCAAACTTCAAGATTTTTGGTCAACATCAACACTTTGAAGTGATATCCATCATTTGATCAAGGGTTGATCATGATTCCTCAAGGAATGCTCTCAAATCATAAAGATTCCAAAAGTGCAAAATTAGGTTTTCCTAGGAAAAGTCAACTGAATTTTGACCAAGCATAAATTTCACATGATTCATACATTTTGCTCCAACCAAAGCTCATTGTGAATAAAACTCAATTCCCTACAACTTTTCTTTTGTCCTCAAGTTCAAAAAATGCATCATTAGAAAGATATGAGCTAATACATTACATATCTTTTTGAAAGTCAACAAAAAGACATTTTTTATCAAGGCAAGTTACATCAAGATGATTTCTCCAAATCCAAAAATAATCAACATAGATATTGTAGGGGACATCTTTAGCTTTCTAAAAAGTTAAATATCATCTCCAAAAGATAACAATTGAGCAAGTTATGACTAGTACAAATTGGGCAAATTAGTGAAAATGCAAAAAACTCAACTTTGAGCAAAAATACATTTTTAAGTTCATAGACCTATCTTGTGGAATTCAAATATTTTTATGACTTACTCAAGGATCCATAAATTCACTCTCACCTTGATTTGCATTTTTTCTCTATTTTATTCATATTTATTTTATTTTTATTCAAATAAACACAAAATAAATTGCATAAAATAATAAATAAAAAATAAACACATGAATCTTCTTGATGAATTCCACCGCCAACTTTGAGGAGATCTTGACCTAAATAAAGTGAGAGAGCTCCTTGAACCACAAATATTTGACGCCATAGACATGACCTTGAAGATTGAGCTCTTGCAATCCATTAGAGAACCATTTGATTGAGAATCACCCCTCAAACCCTAGATTAGATGGTGAGATGAATGCAATTGTGATCACCTACAATATGAACATTCAAAGGAACATATATATACACATATTAATGTTAGTTAAAAGAACACATATACAAGATACACAATTCAAGGTGCTTGGTAATCCCTCAAGAGCAAAGTTAAAGAGAGAACCAACTCTAATGTGTGATCTTGATGCATTGTGACTTGAGATGATGAGAAATCTTAGAGGCAAAATTTGGGATATAATAATGCAGTCTTTGTAACTCTCATCGGGAATCAACAGAGATTTTCTTCTGTTATTTGTCCTTTTTCTTTTAAATATGATAAAAGTTACTTGTGTGTCTAATATCTTAAGTATTCTGGATATTTGTGACAGTAATTGGAGTCCTCAAGCAAAATTCATTACTCAAGCTTCCATTGTTCACATTATCAATGACACTTGGATGACTCATAATCATGTTAGATTCAACAAAGGATTTAGGCATTGGAAGAAGACCCTCAATCAAATTCTTATTGTGGTTTCCTTTATATGAAAAATTCTTCCAAGATGGCTAGATTCTTCATTCATGAGTTCACCATCATCAAGACCTTCATTGTCAAGTTACATCCGCCCAAGGCTCTAAAAATCATTGAAGTTACTTGGAAGCACCCTACGGAGGGTTGGTCAAAATGCAATACATATGGATTTTTCTCCACTGATTCGGCTTCGTGTGGCAGTTTATTCTGAAACTCTTTGAGTGATTTTATTTTCGCCTATGCATAAAAACTTATTTGTACATCCTCTATTCATGTTGAGCTCTTTGGGGTTATTAAAGTCATTGATTTTGCTTATCATTTCGGTTGGAATAGTCTTTGGCTATAAACAGGCTCCACTTTTGTGTCGTTGGTTGTTCACGAGTCTAATTTTATCCTTTGGAATATTAGGACCATTTGGCTTATTCTTTTAGCTTAGATAAGGCTTTTTTTAATTTCATTTATCTTATATATACAAAGAAGGGAATCAATGTGCAGATTTGTTAAAATCTTTGGCTGTCAATTCTACTTTGTCTCTGTTTTGTGATAATTCTCTATAGACCTTGATTCCTTTAGCTGTTCATAATAAATTGAGACTTTCTTATTATCTTTTTGTTAATCTCTAAGAGGGTTTTGGTCTAATTTCCCCTCTTTTATTTCCTTTTCCTTCTTTAAATATATTGTCATTTTTCATTAAAAATAATTAAATAAAAAAATTCTTATTATTTATTTAAACTTTTAATAGAAGCAAAAAAGAGAAAAAAATACTTATTTTTTATTTAAATTTGAATTAGAAGGGAAAAAACAAAGAAAAGACAAAGTATATAGTTTTACTTGTTTTAAACTTTAACAAGAAGAAATGAGATAGTCTTATAAATTAAATGTTAAATTTAATTCATCCATCAGACATAAAATACATCTAACCCATATCTATTATTATATTTTTCATAATGAATCTTTCGTTATTAATTATTTATGTGATAAAACAAATTTAAACATAATTTTTGACATACTGTAAAAATATTCTTATACTTTTTTCTTTTGTATAATGAATGACACAACATCTAACTTTTTTACTAGGTCAACAGAGATGAACAGTGGTGTCTACCACGAAGTTCCATTTACCCTACGAGGAATGAAGGATAATAGACCTTTGGAAACCTATAATGGACAAGAGACTGACCACCACCAACCACATTATTCTTAGGAGGCGTTTATTTCCTAGATTCATAATTTGTTTTGAGGAATTACTTAATCGGAAAAAAAGATAGGAGATTTATTCTAAAGTATTTTTTAAAATGGTTTGGTTCACATTTTAATATTTCTAGAAAATTTTGTAATTTTAGTTATTTTTTCTTTAAAAAAGTATATAAAACCCATGGTAATGAATGAAATTAGATGTATTGAGTGAATTAGCACAAGACCTTTTTGTGATTATTGAGAATAATTTATTGCTTAGTACAATAGACGTTGTTTGTTATATATAGTAGTCATGCAAGCTTTGATAATTAGTTACACAATGAGTTAGTTAATTATTCTAACTAACTCTCTTAACAACTTTTAACTACTGTAACTATCTTATCTCGCTATTCTAACCACATCAATAGCTTGATCCCCCCTTCCTCACACACACACACCCCACAAGTTCATGGTTGATAAGTCAAAACAACCTTGAGCTTGAGCCTAAAATCTTAAAACATGATGTGTGAGAGAGGTTGGATTAGAGCATCCGTGATTTATGTAGTACCGAGAATAAGTTGAACTTTGATTCTGTTGATTACAAAACTTTCACACATAATTAAGTGGATATTAAATTTAATGTGCTTAGTTGTTGCATGAAGAACATGATTATGGGACACCAGAAATACACTGATGTTGTCATAGAGAGGTGTTGGGACAAGGTATTTGACATGCAACTCATCTTGAAGAGATTCTAACCATAATAACTTAG